GTTCAAAACTTTTCCCCTGTGCCATTCCACATTATTACAAATAACTTCATTTCTGGACATGTATGTTTGATTTCTTTATGTATGGATCACTTGGGTTGTTACCGACATCTGGTGAAAATTTCATGTCATTAGCACCTCTAGTAATATATTTACTGAAAAAAATGTTGACGTGTTCAATACTTATTTTACCCGCTGTATATTGAAGAAAACGTATTTAGAGTTAAAGCTTCTTTTGAATTCCTTACGGACTAATAGTTCAACCAAATGACAAAGTGCTTTAATGTAGAGCTTTGCTGTGTTCAGATGCCTTTTTATTCATTCATGTAGAATAAAAGCAGCTCTGGGAATTAAAAAAAGGAGGCAGGAAGGAGAGAAAATACATTAGAGAGAATGGATACCCCCCATCTGCTGTGATACTTTTTAATGTAAGCCTGATTTCTGTGTGCCTTTTTATCAATAAAGTTCAGACCTTCCTTCATTTAAAGTTCATGTTTTTATTTGAGTTAAGAAAGATCCCTTTAAAAAACAAACAAACAAAAGAAAAACAAAACAAAACAAGTTTCTGTAATTATTAATGAGGCACTTTAATAAAAAGTTGTTATTTTTACAGCTTTTTTTAATCCTTTCTACTTGAAAGGCTCTATGCACCGATTCCAAAACAGTTTTTTTTAAATGAAATGACTTTTTAAGGGTTCAGAACTCATCAAAGATTTACACTTAGGAAGCGAGTCCTGCGTTACGTGCCCTGCAGATGAGGAGCGTGCCAAAATCTTGCAACATTTTTCATTCATTCAAACTTTTTTTCCCAACATTTTTCAAACCAAAGTAGAAAATTAACATAATAAAACATTTTTAATAGAATTTGAAATACATCATAAATTCATTATAAACGAGTGACTGAAACTCACCTGTCACAATGACGCACTACCCGGGTGGGAAAATGCATTTATCAAAGTTCCTGTGTTCATGTAATATCTGCATAATTTAAAATGTTTACAGATGGTGTGTTTAATATGGTACAGCTAAACACATAATTAGGGTAATGCCTCTTTTGCTGAATAGCTTTGTGATGAAAGTTGATGCTCTGAAGACTGGTGACAAATAAAAAGTCACAATATTGTATTGTGAGGATTAAATGGAGAGAAGCAGAGATTAAGTGAGGACTCCATGCAGAGCAGCTGGATCATAAAGTGTGGTTTAACCAGTTCAATTATAGTACTTGCCCTATTTTTAATTTTCGTTGACCACTTATTGGTAACCATGTCACCTAACCTGCAGTCTATTATCCACAGAGCCTCATCGTGGACAAGTCTCTATTTTATAGGTTGTCATGCTCAAGGCTGGTTTCAACAAAGAATCATGTGTTAACCATTTCTTTTGGACTGTAGGCACAAGATAACTACACAGAAAAGGGTCCAAATTGGGATTTGAACAATCATACTCCGCCCTGTAAGCTGATTTTCTCATTTTTTATGGAACCTAAAAGTCACAGAAGGCTTGGATAGAGTAACACAGAGCTGCAGGATCTCACCGAGCTGCGACTCTTCGTGACCGTCATGAGGCTTTTGTAGCTTTGTTGCCTGAATTTTGAATATGGTCAACAAATGTTTGTGGCAATTCAATTGTAACCGTTGAGGTAGCTAAACAAAAAGTGGGCCGAGGTGGGAAACAAAAGAATGTGCACGACCTAAAATATAGTTTTGGCTCGAAGGATTTCTCTGGTAGAATTTCAACCAGGCCAATCAGCGAACAGAAGGAGTTTTGAATGACGACAATGATTTTCTGCACCGTTTTAGTAATTTAGTAGCCTGGTTTAAAACCAGACCCTTGTTCTTCGCTTTGCTTCGTACGAGGGTCTGGACTCTCGGCTATAGAGAAGCGATTCTTGCTGGAGGCGTGGCCTCTGTTGAAATTTAAAATGATTGGATTGGTTGGCAACTTATGTCGCTGTGAAGGAGGCTAAGCTAAGAAGTTAAATGGAAATTGTGTGGGCAGTTTCTCCTGAATTCTCCTGAAGGAATCCTTGTCTATGAGAGAAATCACAGACAGAGCAGTGAAGGGAAACTAGAATTGAGCGGAACTGGCACTTTTTTGTTCCGCTCTCTGAGGACTCGGAGAAGACCCTTTCTTCCCTCTCTCCTTCCCTTCCTTATCTTCCCTGCTCTGCTGCTTGGAGCCTTCTCTACGTTTTCATCCAAAACCAGAAATTATGGATATTTTTATTTTTATGGGTTTGGTTAGCTGGTCTCTTAATAAATTTTTGGAACAAAGTTTTCTTCCATGGGAGGACATGTCAAAGGTGGGACCTCTATCCTGGATATATATTTGGATTCTGATCACTGGATTCTACAGATTGGCTTGGTGGTCTCCTGGTGTTCTACAAAACAGTGTCTGTGGCTATTCAGGCCCTTTCCTGGCTGCCTGACCAATATGAAGAAGGATTGCCATTCTATCAGGAACTCGGTCTGCAAGTGGTTCTGCTGAGGGTCGCAGGCCGGCTGTGGTTCCTGGACTTTGCTGGCCAGATGGAATTGATCTTGGAGACAGCTGATAGCACGGCTCGGCGGAATTGTCCACATTATTTGTCTGATTGGATTCGCCAGATTGGATGTACCAGTAGACATTAAAGCAGATGGAAAATTGTTATTGTCTGCCTGACCCAAAAGCATTTTCTTCTGTTCCCAAACAACTGATTACAGATTAGGCTCTCCCCCCAGGTGACCTTGAGAAGGCTGTGGAACTAAATTCCTCCTGGTGTTTACGTCGACGGGGCTGCTCCCACCCACCTCTCCCCGTCTCACTCTCGTCTAATCTGATCTCTTGAAGGACAACCTGAAGCTGTACAGACTGAGCAATTCAACACCAATATTCTGGACAATGGCTGAACTATGGGGGTCTATCTTTTTGGGGACTGGATTCTTCGGACTCATTCTTCAGATATTCACATGTGCTTACAACATTCATGGCTTCAGATACACGCCCTCTAAGCAGCTCTAAAAACATGCAGGACACTGGCACTTGAGGACTGACTTTGGACACCACTGAGTTAGATTCTTAGCTTAGCTTCCTACACAGCCAAACGTTAACGATTGGCTAAATCAGATCCAATCGTTTTAAACTTCAGAGGCCACGCCTCCAGCAAGAAATCACTTCTCAATAGCTGAGTCCAGACCCTCTGTATGAAACAAAGAAGAACAAGGGGCTGGTTTTTACCAGACTAACACAAAACCGGCCTTGATTTAAAAACTTGAAGTGAAAATTGCAGCAGTAAAGTGGGAAATTCTCCTGTTTTTTCACAACTAATATCCAACAATGAGCCCAGCAAGAGTGCAACAGTTTTCAGTGAAATAATTCACGAAGTCTTCATAATAATCTGGAGAAGTTAGCAGCTGTAAGTGCAAATAAGTCAAAGCAGCTGCTGAGCCTAAATGAAATAATCACATAAAGTCTGAGGTGCCCGTGGCTCAGAAACCACTCTGAGTTTCTCACTGCCCTTTAGTCACAGACTTGAGTGTTAAATAGTTCTACAAGTGTTTTACAGCAGAGTTCAGCTGCATGAAGCAGAAAAGATTCATCAGATTTAACTGTTTGAGTTTCAGGTTTTAATAAATACCAAATAAAAGTGAGAACTGATGATGTTAGCAGTCCAAGCAGAGACTCACAGACACTAATCCAGAAAGGACCTTCATGTGTCGGGGAGAACTCATTCAGAATAAATAAATAATAAAAAGAAGGCACTAGAACACTAATTGGATCTTAAGGAGGGGAAAATAGAGATTATATTGGTAAAAGAGCATACACTTACAGTTTTCTGGCACGATTTGTTTTCCTACGTCACTTTTTTTGTTTCTTTAAATAAATTTCTGGTTGTTTTCCTTCACAGAACGATTACTTGGACTCAGTCTGGAGGAGAGACGCAAAGAATACCAACGTGATTATAAAACTGTGGAAGATATCCCAACCTGGAGGGAAGAAAATACCCGTAAGAGAGACTACGATGATTTTTTTTTTAATCAGGAAGGTGACGTTAAACTAAATAATTTTGCAGAGACCAAACAAATCAGAATAGTTTTTTTCTTGCTCCTCGCACACACAGGCTTTTAAACCTGTTCTGTCTTCAAATATACATACTACCTATACTATATATACTATATACACTATATATACTATATATAGTGTGTATTTATTCAGTGTCTATTTTAATTATTTTTCTTTAAAACATCTATTTGTTTCAGCCTTTGACAAAGAAGATGAAAAAAAGGAGGCGACAGATGGAGGAGGCCTGGCTGATAAAGTCTCTCTCTACAAGGGTGACATCACTGTCCTGGAGGTGGACGCCATCGTCAACGCCGGTAGGAACTCTGACCTTTTGAACCTTTTTGAAACAGTTGGTTTGTCGGCTGCGCTGGTATTAAAACTGTCTTTTACTGCCCTCTACTGCTGAGATTCAGGAACTGCTGGTGCCTGATGCTCTGCACTAACATTCAGTCTGAGATTAAACATAAAACAAAACTCAGACAAATTCAACTTGAGCTAAAGCACAGGACTGTTGAGAGCGCAATCATTGCTCTTTTTGTTTTATATTGTTAGTAAAACAGATAATTAACTAATTAATTTACATCCTATAGACCTTTTTTGTCCTTACTGTTGAATGCATTTATAAAAATGGTTGAGTTTGAAAAGGAAAATTTGTCTTAAAGTAAATAAAAAAAGAGGATGCAGCAGCATGGGTGATGCCTAATTCAGGATTGCACCACTGTTATGTAACTTTCTGCTGTCTGCTCACAAACTGCTGCCAGAGATGCTAAAAAATGCTTTTTTGATTTTTTTATAGCTGATCTTGGAAACCCTTTTAGCAGCTCAGAATAGAAATATGCAAACAGGAAGTTAAAGGTACTGAAAGACAAAACGACTGGTCCCAAAAAGTAATTAAATAAGAATGATGGAATATAAACCAGTAAACTATTTATTGATGGTAAAACCCTTTCACTGCTCTCTCTGTGTGAAACTATAGGCTTCTCTTGCACATTTAAAGTATCAGATCGATATAAATTTAGCGGATTTAACACCACTAATGATTCTGATGTGTAAAAATCTGACTGAGGATGAAAATAAAACACACTTGTTTGCTAATGTGTGTTGTATACAAGGAAACTGAGATAAAGGTGAGCATTATTTCTGGGACTAGACAAACAGAGCGTATAAAATCTCAGTTTAAACACTGCATGTCTTTGTTTTGACCCAATAAATACTATTAAAGTTCAGACAGGCGGTTTATTTTCACCATAAATGCTTCCAGACATTCAGGTTGTGATTAAACTACAATGAGGCAGCGTCTACTTATTTTTTTAAAGCAAACTATCAGGAAGTCTGAAAGGTTGAATGAATACCTGAAGGCTTTTATGATTTTCTGTATGTTATTCCATTCACACTGCAGGACTGGCCGTCTTTGTCCAGGTGCTGCGTCTGATAAGAATATATAGAGGTGTATTTTTCTTTCCGTTTTTGTTTACTGTCTCTGCTCGCTTTGCTCAGCAGGATTTTGTGAATATAGTTTTTTTTTGTATGCGTGTGTGGATGCATTATTTTACTCACAGGCAACAAAAGATTTTGTTTCCTCGTCCGTGTTATATAAAAAGGCCTACAGATTGGAGGCTGGATGCCCTTTGGCCACAGCCAACACAGAAATGATTGTTGTAACTCAGTTTAGTGTCAACGTTAATACATATTCTGCAATACGTGGTGAGGGCAGCTAACCAAAATATTTGCTTCACTAGCATATAAACCACTGCACAATTTCCTTAGTTTCACTAGCAATACAAAAGCTAAATACAATTTAAAAGTGGTGGAATCTTGAGCTAAATTACTGATATTTATCATATTAACATCCCACAAGAGTGTGCACCAGCGTTCAGGGTTTTATCTTCAACCACGCCCCCTCTAGCATTCAGTTCCCCCTCTATTTCCCTGACTCAGACCTCTATCATGGTGCCATTTTATAGTCAATATTTAAACTTAACACAGATTTTAAACCAAACCTAAATGTATAATTTCACAAACGTAAGTCGACTCAATTCGAAATGCTTCATAGACGACAGTTAAAGTATATACGTCTCTTTTGGAGGTGAGTTTTAAGAAAAAAAGTTTGTTTCAGTTAAGCCAGCAGGCGGAGCTACAACTGCTGACTTAAATCAGAAGAGGGGAAAAAAAAACAGGAAGTGACAAATTACATTCTTAGAAATCCTGTTTCTGCTAGTTTAATTCTTATATTTAAACTAAAAAAAATTGTATTTCCCAGATTAAAGCAAAGTTGTTTAACTTTATTTTACAACACAACTATGGAGGACCAAAACTGACATAATTAGGAATAAAAACAGAAATATAAATGGACCAATAAATAAATAAATAAATACACTTACAGTAAAATACACCAGTTAAATTATAAAAGGAGAACTTTACCTCATGTTTTATAATTTAATTGACCATCATTCTTTTTTTTTTCTAGCTTAGTCCTGTTAAATTACATATTTTAGAATGTAATTAAAGTTTTACTGTTTTTCAAAAAATATATATATATATTTTTCCTTTTACTTGTCTCTTAACAGATTATATTTAAATATTTTTTTATAATTTTTCCCACAAGTCTTTTTTAAATTCTTTTTTTATTAGTCCATTTATATATATCTGCTTTTATTTCTAATTACGTCAGTTTCGGTCCTCCATAAAAATCAGGAAATCTGCTCTGTGTGACAGAATGACGTCCCTGCTGGAAAAGATGCTGGAAAAACTGAAAACTGAAACCGTGAATCAGATGATCTGGTCAGTATAGTAGAGGAGACTGTAGGATGATGACACTGTGTGACTACGGACAGTGTTAGTGTCTTAGTTTAGCTTAGTTACTAGCATAATCACATCATTAAGTATGCCACTGTTTCAAGTAAATATTATTGAATTTATTAAGAATGTGGTGATGTGAATTCTAAGATTTTTAGCAGCAGGGAAAATAAACATTTTTTTAATCTATAAAGTTGATGTAAATGCTAAACCGCCCAGCAAAAATATTAATTCCGCTATTGGCGAGTTAGCGGATGAACGGAACTGTGTCCATCTCTGCGAATGCTATTCACAAGATCACCTGATTTGACTGAATGAGTGATTGAATGAGGCTTCTGTAGAAAACATGCAGGATTGTAGCTCTTGAAGACCACTGACTTTGTTTGAACTTATGGACTTAACATAGTTCAATATTAAACTGATGCTGCGTATAACTTTTGCTATGTGTTATATTCTAATGAGGTATTAAAAACTTCTGAAGTAGGACAAAAAAATGTGAATTGCAAGAGGCGAAGGAGAACTCTCCTGTTTGCTGTTGCAGTTATAGTTTCTGCCTATAGCTTTAAGGGGAGCCAGGCTGCTTTATGTCCTCCATTAAAATTTAATTACTGGGCTCATTGAGTTTTTAATTCTTCCTTAATTCTGTTTGGCTCGTGGTGGCACAGGAGGAGCTCAAGCTGTCACCTGGGTGAGAGCCTGGAGAGAGGGGGGACCACAGGGATGGGGGTGAGGCAACAGTCAGACTGCAGAGGAGGATGGTTTTATTGTGAACGAGGCTCGTTATAAAATAAGTTGGTCTGCAAACACTCAGCAGAAATGTCTGTTTTCTGTTCCACTGCTTCTTCTCACCCACGTTTTGAAACTGATGAATGAGTTGCTGGTGCTGTTCTGCTGAAACATAATAGTGATTAAATTCCTTGAATATATTTGAGGTTTGCTGGTTGACAAAGCCTGACTGATTATATAATATTCTGTTTCACTTGGTGGTATTTTTGCACTACGTTGTTTTATTTTTTATTTTAGGTTTTGTTTTTTACTAAAGCAGCTCCAGAACAAAACTGAATCACATGTTGGTTTTCCTCTTTATTTACTGCATGTTTTCATAAGCAGTTATTTACTTCCTAAACCTCATTTCATAAAAAAAACACTTATTTTAATGTGATTTTTTTTGTGTTTTTAAAAGTTTCAAATTGAACTGTTGGTTCGACTCATGCTTTTTAACCTTTACTCCGTCAAAAATAATTATGTGGTTTTCTTGAATTATCAACACGTTCCTCATTCTTATTACCACTTCTAAGAGGTGTTAATAATTTCCCAAAGGCTATTTTTCTTTTTCCTCTGAAAAACCCAAATTCTCTCCTCATCACAGCTTTAATGTTTTAATCTCAACCAAACAAAACATGCAGCTACGAATGACAAGAGGTTCGGTTTCTGTTTCTGTGAAAACTTGTTTGCATCTCAAGAAAATTTCAATTAATTTCTTCTTATATTTTTTGCAATCATGCTTGAATTTAAATACATGTTGTCCAGTTTAAATCTAGTTATGCTCCTGTACCCAAACATTCTCGTTAAAGCTGTAGATATAGGTGTGTATTCAGAATGAATGCCTGTTACATCTAATATAGCTGCATGAACTTGAGTGTGCTCTGATTAAAAAAAAATAAGACATAAGTGTAGGGGACGGCTCTTTTCTTGATGACTCTGGTAATTATGCAGTGTGTTTGGCTCCTGTTCTATTACCTGCTGTAAACCCTGCCCATATTTCTGTATTAGATCATTTTTACAGGAGCCAATTTTATTTGCACACAGAATCTGGTAATGAATGCTATAAAGAATCTGTAGGGGTGGAGATGAGTTCAAGACATTCAATTGGTATTGAGTCGAGTGGAACCACTTGTTCTGCAGTCATCATGGGTTTGATGAGAGCGCTGACCCACAGAGGTTAGAATACCATGATTTAGTGGAGATTGAGTTTTTATTTTTATGTTTTTTTTCCGTACGCAGTCAGTTTAGAGATGGTGTTTACCTCTGTGTTCTCTCAGTCCTGGTCCTCTGGACCCACAGCCGTGCCTGCTTTTGAGGTTGATCCAAACCATATAGTTCTATGAATCAGGTGTGGAGAATCAGGGAACCATCTGACCCAAACAGGACAGATGATCTAAAGAGACACGACTTCAAGCATCAACATAATACAAGAAGAATGAAGGGAACAGATCATGCAATATCCACTCTTTTAGTCGTTCAATACATTTTTTGTGTATTTGGAGTCTCTAGGAGCGCAGGAAAGTTGAATTTCGTCTCTACCAGTGCTGCATATATATCTTTATATTCTGTTTGGGTCATAGTTTTCAACTTGTTCAGTTTTCTCTGTTTTTGATGATGTTTTCTGAACTATTACGTTACATTATTTAGAACAGAACGTCTTAATAAAGTCTGGACTTACCAACTACAGTTTGGTTGGTGTGAAGCACCCAGATGTCTTTAAAGTACTTAAAAGAAATAACTAAGTAGACTTTGT